TATGTATGATATAATGATACAAATGGCACTGATAACTTGTTCATCATAACGATTTGTGCCAATGAATACTCTTAAGCTCAAACACTGAGATGAGGTTCTAGTATCTAGATCCTTATCAGGAGTGACGCGTCCAACATTTTGCGATAAGGTCCAATATATGGCGTAGTAAACCAAAACTATCATACCGGCAATGATTACCTATAATATCAACATGGCGGGGCTTGCTGAAGTTATCTTCGTATTCAGGTTATACCCTTCAATAATATTAAATTAAATGACATTAGATTACATCTTGAGTTTCTCATCAAATATACAATTCAATTAATTAATAATTATCAAAGGGGGAAAATAATTGCACGTCACAAGCTATATATATCAGAGACAATCAAACAAATTATATATCATGATATTATATTAGCATTTACTAATTTATAAATAATATTAGATACATACAAGGTATTTTAAATATTTTTGTTTTTAGTAAAAAGTTTGTTTTCAGATTAATATAAAACAATTCATTCCAGTTCATAGAAAAAAAAATAAAGCTTTTTAATAAATTATTGTGGTTATTTTTTATTCTAAAAAAGAGGCACTAGGGACGACGGAATATCAAGTCACACTGTTTTTGTTTTTTTTTACATAACTAAAGATTTATCTCATCATATTCCATAACAACCTCAACGTAATTATTATACACTCCCTTCCTTACTTTCCTCTACTTAACCTTAATCAATAAACGTCCCATCCATTTTTCCTCTACAGACAAAAACCTAGGAGTAACCTTTGACCAGAACCTCTCCTGGAATAACCATATCTCCTAGATTACCCGAAAATCCATAACTGCCCTTAAACAACTCCTAAGATTCCGTGATTGTATTCCTCTAAAAACCAGACAGCTCCTTGTATTCCCACACGTCGACTACGGCTGTTTGGTGTATGGAGGGCTATCCGCCAGGCTAGAAATGAGACTGAAGAGACTCATGAATTGCTTCATAAGATACATTTTTGGGATCCCCAGGCATTCACATGTTTCTCTCTGGTACATTTCTCTCGAAGTTGCTTTATCCTACTTCGAGACAACAATTTACGCTCCACTATCCACTCTCTCAATCTCAATCTCAATCTCAATCTACAGACTTATATATCCCCTCCCATAAAACTTCCTTATGGAACTCACTTCCTACCTCCATGCGTCAATCCTCGTCCACAAATTCCTTCAAACAACTCCTGTTCCAACACCTACTCCACATTCAAACTTCCTCTAACATGTAAAATTACTTGCATCTGTACACTGTTTAATTTCAATCTATTGCACAATTGAAATAACAATTAACAGTAAATTAGTTTGTATTTTTATTATTATGTCAGACTAAGACCCATAAATTTGTAACTGTTATTATTCTTGGGGGACAGTAGTCCCAGAATAAAATTATTTTTTCATTTCATTTCATACCCTTAAAGCTTAATACATAAGGCAGTTTTACTGAGAGTGGGGTAACTGTAGTCGAGTTAGAGGGTGATAATAAAATATCCCGAATAATCAGATATTTTATGAAAAACAGAACTTAGCCGTTAAGCCGGTTCACTCACCTGTAAATGGTGTTATCAAAAACAAACTTTATTTACATTAAAAAAAAATGTCCTAGTTTATTATCAAGCTATTGTTAATTGTCTCAATTATACCTTTTTTTTAGTTATCGCCTCTATTCAACAAAATCTGTGACTTGTTTAAAATAATACAAAAAATAAATTTTCTATTTTGAGTAAAATAGGACCATTGTTTATGCAAACTTTTTTACAGCTATTGAAGTCTGTTATCATCCATTTAAATATTTTCTTTGTGGCAACGTTTTTTACCGGAAATTCAATTCCACCCTGTTTTAAAATAATTATACTCTATAATTATAGTTTTCAAAAAAATCTCAAATATAAACTTAACCTCTGGTTTAAAAAAAAAAACCTGATCTAAGTGCATCCAAAATTTTCTAAATAGCTTACAAATAGCCAATCAACAATATGAGCTGGGAGTAGTAACATAAATTGGGTTACCGAAAAATCTCATCAGTGAAAGTGAACGGTCGATTGGAAATTATCTTGAATCTCAGATTGCAACGAATTCTTTTTACATAATTCACCGATGGTCAAAAATTGATTTATTAACTCATTTATTCATTCGGTTTAGTTACGCATATTTTAATCTAAAAACAAGCTAAGGTGTGTGATTTAGACCACACGATAGTAGTGAAAATATCAACAAGACGAGAATAATATTAAATATAAATTATAAATAATAGTTCATTATAGCGAGGATCAAATATTGAACGATTCCCATGCTTACAATATGCAGGTCCGATTTTAGTTTCTAAAATATTTTAATCCATATCTTCTATAAAACTCGTTATCATTTGGTTTTCGACACTATTTTTTTCCTTTTCGCCTCCTGACACGGCGACGAGTTAATATACAATTTTGAATAGTAGCCCATTACAGAGAGGATGAAATGCTGAAAAATTCCCTTGCTTACATTTACAATTACTTTCAGTCTGATTTTTTGTTTATGAGATATTTTAATCGATTTGTAAAAACACTTTAATTAGTCGACTTTACTCGAGCGTTACACATCATAGATCTGATGGCTCACTCTAATTCATTCTCCACAAAAAAAGGTTCATCAGCTCATAAGCGATTTATCTATATCAATTTATGAGGAAGTCGAGAAAAATCTATAACAGAGATCGTCGTCTGGGGTTTTATAATATAATTTTGTTCGATTTATTTTCTAGTTGTCTGAATCATAATTTTTTCAAGTTATTGTTATATCCTTTATTCTGAAATGTTATTAGAGACTTTAATTTTATGCGTTTAGCTCCTTTTTTTTTGTAAAAATAATATCCAAATGATACTCTATTTGTATTAGTTTTATTTAATAATTGCCATTTTACTTTTATTTTTATTGCTTTTCCAATTTGCATAACATATTTAATTTCTTTACCTGCATTAGATACATAATGCTGGAATATGTGCTAAATGATTTAATAAAACGTAAATCACCATAAAACCATAAATATTAATAATTATAGATTTATTTTAATATTTTACTAAATAATTTTCTACATTAATAAATACCAACTTCATAAAACTATTTTTAGATTCATTCTATTCTTATGTTTAATTTATTTTTATTTGAATAACGGTAGAAGAATACTATTTATGCAATGAGTTGCTAAAATGCTGCAGTTTCTGGTAACAGATATGTTGCTGGTAGATTAGAATCCAAGACAACAACAGAGAGCTCTCAACATTATCAACCACTTGTAGAACAAAATGTTTTCTCTTATAAGCCAAATGCATAGTATAAACATACTATGTTCATTAGAATTCTATAATAGCCATTAGGTTTAAAAAAAAAAAATTAAATTTTTAAGATAAAGGCAATTAAACTTCCATTTTTTCTTTCATTTTTTTTTAATCACATCTGACGTTTCGGGATAATTTTCCCATCTTCAGAGATTCGTTCATATTTACTTGACTTTGTAATGTGGCACCAATTGTCAAAAATTACAATATCTGTCATATCTATTTTTCTATAATACTTTTTTTGGTATTACACATTCATTTCCTATATGTAACTATATCAACTTGGTTATTTCAAGTTCCATTATTGTTTCTTTTCAAAAAATTAAAGAAATTATTAAACGTTTTTGTACAATTTAACTCAAATTTCTTATGTGAATATATTTGTGCTAGGTATTGAAAGTTAATCCATAAAAATTACATTAGGTCCTAGATATTTTAAATCTTCCTCAATCACTTTCTAAGAAGTTCAGCTGATAGAAGAAGACGCATCCTAATGGAACACGGAGTGTTATGTTCATTCGTTAGCAAAAGTACAGAACTTCATTTGCATGGGAGATTATAAACTATTTATTTTTACGGGAAACGTTAATAGGGTTTTCTCCGAGCCAGGAGGGGAGGCGGAGGATTAATACCGGAGTTAAATACCGGCACCAGGACTCGAATTCGTAATCTTCGACCATAATCATTATTCAACATATGAGAAAAATATTGATTAATTTGTATGTTTCCAAAAATTGATTTTCAACTCATACATATTCTTACATACACTTTTAATATATACTTTCAATACAAAACAGTGAAGTACCATTTGAGATACTGTGAATAACCATTTGGGTTATTCGGAAATAAAATTCTGAATCCACCAATACTTTTTTTCAAAAAAATATTTGAACCCACTTTGATCCTTCGGTCGGAAATTTTTTTTAAATTTCAACATTGTATTCATACTATAGCTGTATGTCAAATGCAAATTTGTCATAATAGAGCTCTTCTAATAAATATCTTATCGGACATGATTATTTTCGATGATTCTTTTATTTATTTTTTTTAATTTTCTAGATAATTCAGGAAACTTTAAAATACTCCTAAATTTAGTGAAACAAAAATTGTGTACTTTTTGTGTTATTCACAAAACAAATTCTGAATCCATCGTTGATTTTTTCAGCATCTACTCGGGGAAGTATGTTATCAGCATAAATTAAGAAGGCTTTAAGGAGAAGACTTTGGCTAAGTTTAATTAAAATCGTTACATCAGTTTTCCAGCTTCTATTTCGAAACGAAAGGCCGTATGGTAATGAAATGTATATAAAAACAATTCTGAATTTGATTGCGATGTTAAATAAAAATTTCAAAGCAATCGGTGAAGAACTTTCTGAGATTAGCGGTTTTGAACAAACTAATATTTACATTTTTATTTATGTTAACTGTTTTTGTTTTTTTAAATTGATAACCCTCAAGCTCGCCAATGGCTACTAAACAAAAAAATAAAGAAAATAAGTTGGGGAAAAGAAGAGAAATATGTATTGATTGGACTGTCTCTTTATACAATTTACTTTGTACATCTTTGCATATTTATACAATAATAATTATACTAAATGTATAAATTAAAATAAAACTTATAATATAATCAAAAATAAACTCACGTATGGTACTGGGCTTGCAAAAAGTTGAATTCCTCTTTTATTCTTTCGCAGGTTTCTGCAATCGTAAACTTGAGCTGCCCCCCTTGCCCAGCGCTTCCCTGCAACAAATAAATTACATAATAATTATTATAAATAAATAAATAAATATGGTATTTTGAATAATAAATGTAAAACTTAAATTTAGCATCTAATACATTACACGAAACGTGTAGCATAAAATCTTTACTTAAAAATAACCTCAACCAGGGATGGTTCGCATGGCCGGGCCTCTAACTCCACTTGAATGTTCCGTCTTACTTTGAAGTATACCTTCATGAATGTATACTTTTAAGAAAATCAATGAAAAAGAACTCCGTTTAGCCGATATGATTGCAGATTCGCTTCTCTAAAACAATAGCTGCTGTAAACAGTCCCTTTACTTACTCGATGCTTGATCAATACTTAAACGCGTTTTCCTATCAATCTGAAAGAGAAGAAGGTACATCAAATTGACAGGAAGGAGACCATTTTAATTAAGTTTCATTCTTTCTAGTATTCTTTCTTAAAGAAACGACTATGGATACCACCTCAAGTCGGTAGAAATAGTGTACCGGGATGCGTATTTAGTTTACAAAAGATTAGCTGTTGTCAAAGATGTAACAAAGATTAGTCTATTAGTTTTCTGATTGAATAATGTCCTTTTTAGTTTAATGTAATTGAGTATTACAACAATCTCTCCCATAGACACTAGTTATAGGTAAGTAGGATGACTATAAGTACTAAAAATTTAAAATGAAAAGAAGTAAAACAACAATAAATAATAATCAAAACGTATATACAATAAATAAAATAAAATAACCTAATAATATGAAGTATCATATATCAAGAAACAAATATAGTTTCGAATTTGTCTGCCATAGTCAAATCTGAATGATATCATCTAAAATTGTTAATCCGATTTTTATGAAATTACAAGAGGCAATACCTAGATGGTCCCAATTCAATGTCATCAAATTTCATCTCCTTTCACATATAAATGTATTTTATTATAAAACATTTTAAAACCAACTCTTCTCAAACTAGGAGATTACGTAAAAAAATGACACTTTACCAATTTTATCAAATTTCATGCACTACTTACGCTTACATACGCGCTAACATGCTTCCCTTAATACGACTATATTTTAAAAACCACACGTTATATTTGACACAAAACTGGAGAAAAATTAGGAAATGGTAAAAAAAATGATCAATTGGGTATCAATTTTGATTTAAGTCCATCCATTACTTTCAAAACATGTTGATAATTGTTGATGGGTGGATAATTCAATATTGAATTCAACGAATTAGGTGTGTTTCCCTCGTTTCGACGATCATTTTCTAGACAAGATCGCTTCAATAATGACCTAATCTTATTCCGAAACGACGTACCATAAACCTTGAAAAATTAGTTGTTATAAAAACAGTATAAATTGTAAGGAATCGGAACTGATTCGACTTGGCAGAAGTAATTTTTATTTTATTATATGACTTTCAATTAAATGTAGAGAAACAAGGGATAAAAATGTGCCCTAAAAAGTTAAACAACAGTGATTATATGAGTAATTTGGTCCGCGGCCACATCTTGTCATAAAAAAATTTAAAAAATCTATAAATGATATCTCAGTTGTGAAATGGGCTCTCTAAGAGATAAAAAAAATACAATAAATGTTAAAGTAACCTCTCATTATTTGCTAAATTTCATATTTTTAAACTTCAACATGTAATTAAATAAACTTTCGCGGGGCGTAGTTTGGAGACTCCTGTTTAAACTAAACATGACTTGTTTGGGAGACTTTTATTGGTTTTCTCATATTTCCTACTCTTACCACTCAAAACGATGTAAAATAATATTATTCCTTGATAAAGTATAGTTACTTGGTCCAAACAGTTGAACTAAGTCAATCTATATCCGGAATCATGTACGTAGTAATATGAAATTATGAATTTGGTAATAAAAACTTAAGTGCAGTTAACAATTAATCAAAACGATTTAATTTTAATGATATCAATCCAAAAATTATATAACCCTATCAAAAAGTAAAGTCTATTGAGATTGCTACTACGGTGGGACTTTTTATTTTATTTTGAGCTCTTCGCCAAAAGACACCCTGTTAAAGAAGTCAGAGCGAAAGGGAGCCAGAGAATAAAAGGAAAACGGGGACAGTTTCGGAAAAACAGGAACTGGAATTGATGGGAATCCTTCCTGGAAGTATATCGCTTTTCCGGGGACAAAACCATTTCCACCTCAATCCAGCGGGGTTGATCAAATAATTCAGATATCTCTGAGGACGAGAGTGACCCTAGAATGTTCTCGAGAAATGGAATCAGTATACTGAGAGGGTATGCAATTGGACTATCGACATGGTTTCCAGGAAATAAAAATAATTTCGCGCCTCGGTATCGATTTCGAGAGACATGTTTGCGAACCTTTTAGTAATTTATTTATAAATTTCCAACTAACGAAACACTTCTTTAACACCAATTCATATAAGTTTTCAAACATGAAAGTCGATTTGGAACTGTGAAAATACTAAAAATTGTGCATAAAATGGTAGTGGAGTTTAAGAAAATATGTGACTCACAACACCCATTCGCCAACAACAAATAAATTAAAGGGGCTCTAGTAGTTGGCAAAACCTTGAAAACCTAGAAAAAAAAAATTGCTCCAGATCAGAGCTTCATTTTTATCGATTCGTTCGGACTGAATCGAATAATCTCTAGATGTTATTGTCCCTCTTGAGATCAGTTTAGAACTTCAGACTTAGATAAGTTGAGTAATATAGATGTCAGCTCTTTGACACTAACTTAATTATTTTAAATTTTCAAGGACTTAATGCTCCCTACTCTGTTACAAAGAAAACCATTAATAATGACCTTTATGTTTCAGGTCTGGCCCAATCCAGATAAATATCCTTCCATAATAAACTTCAGAATCGTCCTAACCCTCTCGTTTCTAACCTTGCTTCCTCTTCAATTCCTGATAACCCTTCGAGGCGTCTGAAAAGAAGATGGCCCCGTGATCTCCTAATGTAGACATATCATTAGAGTGCTACCATTGGGTAGTTTCTCAACAAGTGTTTTCACGCCATTATACCCATATGTTCAAATTTACTTAATGTATTTCTTTAATAAAGTTGTAAATATCATTAAGAAAAAAAAAAAAAATTCAAGGTCCTAACACAGGGAGATTCTATAAGTGCACAATGCCATCGAACAACGCAAAAAAATATTGCTATCAGTAAGACTTTAACTCAAATTTACACCCCTCCCCATTTATATTATCCTTTAGCTAAAAATAAAAATGTAGAGATAGGTTTGAAATCCATAGCCTTATTTTTGCTTATATGGGCCGAAATGTTGTGTGTGTATATATATATATATATATATATATATATATATATATATATAGAGAGAGAGAGAGAGAGAGAGAGAGAGAGAAAAGGAAAGAAGGCGAGTATCTACCAAAACCAAGATCAGAGGCTTAGGCTTACACAACATACTCAAATCTGAAAACGAAAAACTTTTAAATCAAATACATTCAGGATTATAACTAAACTCCATGGTACGTCACAAACCTTCGCATACCAACGGCTAACAACCACATACGAACACACAATAACAGTTTTCACGATAACTTAAAAGGTATATACTAACTTACTCAAGTACAAGATATGAGTACAATTAACATGCCCGGAAACCCACTTAGGATGCTCAAAAGAAGTCAGATGAGGGATCTCCACGCTTAAAAAGTAAAATGAAATCAAGATAGGAATATATGCCGCTAGGCATTCCTCTCCCTCACACCGATCAAGCCACCAAAAGTATTCTTCCCGACAGCATTTTCAGTTATTGTCAGTACTTCTGACAGGTATGGTGAAGAAATTTAGTTTTTAAAAGGGGGCATATGAAACAAAGTTAAAATAGATCAGCATCTTTCTCTTTCCATGCAGCGAAAATCTATCATTTTTTAAGGAAAATTCAACAAATACTGAGAATTCAACGAATAGACTATTTAAAGGAAAACTAAATAAAATGTTGTGAAATGAAGGAGATAAAAAAAAAAAGAAAAAGATATAGGATTTATTCTATAAAGCATTCACGATTTTCCATTAAATGAAACAGGGAAAAGGATCAAGGTTTTTCTATCAAACGGAGAAGTAATTTTGCCCATCAGTTCTGTTTTTAAACTATTTTTACATCAAAGGGAGGCCAGGGTTTCACGTCCCGTGTGGGCAACGCAAAAAAAATTATTATCCCGTCTCCACATTTTACAGAAGAGGGACAATTATTTAAAAAGAATTTTTTTATAAAAAAAAAAAAAAATCCTTTGACTTATTTTTTTCGTGATTAAATCTGAAATAACTTACGTAACCTGTATTAATATGAGATAAGGTTACTTCAGTGTTTTCTATCTAGTTCCAAACTTTTTCTTTATCTAAATACATAATATAAATAGGAAAATAAATCAAAATTATTTATTACAAAGCGAATAAATGATACTAACAATAATCAAGAAAATAATAAGAATTTCGATATTGGACAGTAGATTCATAGCTTTAAATTTTTTATTTTTTATAATTGTGGATAAAATGGTTGACTGTGGTGAATAATGAAGAGAAGAATAGTTGGGATGATCAGTCAAATAAAAAGGCAAAAATAAATGATAATATTTATTTTGACATTTGCCGACGTTTCGACCTGAAGTTCAGGCCTTCATTAGGGCTAAGAAAAGAACCAGATAATAAGGTATGAGAAACATAAGTAGTATCTCTTAGTTCTTACTATTGTCATTATTCTAACAACTTCATTTTACTTTAATTTTTTTACCTACACTACTTATATTTCTCATACCTTGTTATCTGGTTCTTTTCTTAGCCCTGAACTTTAGGTCGAAACGTCGGCAAATGTCAAAATAAATATTATCATTTATTTTTGCCTTTTTATTTGACTGATCATCCCAACTATTCTTGTCTTCATTATTTTTTTTTTTAATTTTAATACGACTCCTTTTAGAAATGCTCATCAAATTCCTTTTTCTTTTTTTTATTACAGACCGTGAAGATCTGTTGCCGCCTTAACAAGCATGCTCTATCTCTGCGTGTCTTGGGATATTTCTTTCCATTTAACTGCAATCAGCTCTATTGAATCTTTGTTGATTCTATCTATCCATTTGCTTTTTGGTCCTTTACTACATGTCACGGCCATCGTAAGCTCCGTGCCTTCATATGATGGGATATTGATAGACCAGTTTCTGTAAGTAGTTCTTTATTGGTCTTTCTTCTGTGTTAGTACTCTGATCCCAGATAGTTTCGTTTATCTTGCGAAGGATTTTCCTCTCAAATCTTATAACACTTTTCTCTAAGGTGCTGGTTAGGTCTCACAGCCATATATTTCAACTAGATTTATCATAGCATTGTACACCCTTAGTTTACAGCTTTATATAATACGCGTATGTTTATGCGATGTATAATATGTGTTATTTTTATAAAAGTTGGACACATCGAGTCGTTACAGCGTGAATAGTTCCGCTGTTACATTTTAGGGTTATTTGTAATGTCACGAGTGTTGTAACGACATAAGAGTCACGGAAAGTAAAATTTTCGAATTAAGAATGAGATTGGCTGAATCTGTTTTAAGTAGTTACGGACTTGCCATTACAACGCTTCGCGTGATAATTTCTCTATCAGAGTCACACGACATAACGTGACAATCAAACGGATCTGTAAGCATTTAGCTATATCACGTTTGACCTATTTACAATATATTTGTGCTAAATGAATAATAACATACATGAGTTCGTTCGTGCCGAACTTAATTTTTACAATTTAAGTTTTTAGGCACTTAGCTCAAGACTTCATTTTATATATATATATATATATATATATATATAAAGGCTTACTTCATCTACATTTAGGAGGAACTATGATATCTATAAAAAGACAGATTTTGAGATAACATCTAGGTGCAGTATAGGACTTCAATGAAAGTCTTAGTCCAACAAAAAAATAAAATATATCTGGGCCTTTTTGTGATCTTCTGGAATAGTAATCATAATAACGAGTGATTGAAAACCAATACTAGAAATTAATCGTATATCTGCTCATTTCATTTATTTATTTTTTAAACATAACAAAATATTCAAAAGTTTTAAATCGAGCAATAAGATTCAATTCATTTTTGACGTATTTTAGTTATGTAAATAATTATATTGGACGTTATATAAGAGGCCATTACGTAACTAAATATGAAAAGAGATATTCATAAATCCGAAATTCAAATCTTGCAAGAGTGACTTAAATTAAATCAAATCTAACTCAGAAACTTCTGAGTTACAAAATAGAAATTTAAATAAATTAAACACGACAAAAAATTGTATTAAAAAATATAAATAAAAACTGATGAACATTTTGGGGTAGACGTAGAGACGAAAACGAATAAAAATGTTATTGTATAATTAATGACAGAAAATATATTTGTGTTTAATGAATGCACTGATAGTTATTTCAAAATTATAGACAGATCTAAAAAAATGACAAACCAAATCCAGTAAAGAAATGATTATAGAAGAAATGGCGGAGACACAATTTTTGACTTAGGGACATTGTTCGAGACTACTAAAAGTCCCCACTCCTAGGTAGTGAACCAGACATGGGGGGGGGGCGCCTAGGTCACTTTTTTCGGTTTTTCGCTTATGTCAGGAGTACTATCCAACGCATCAACAAAGAGATTCTATACAAAATTAAAGCTAATAAAATTTGCGATATGAATAAACATATACATTTTTTCGTTACTTCGCATAGTTTCCGAGATATCCGTCCTCAACTATCGCTAATTCAGAAAAAAAAAATACCTCATGTTTTTTACTGTATTTGGCTAGCTAACGCTTGATTGCTTAATTATACAATAAGTCATGCGGAAGAAAGTTTTTGATAATTAAGTTTTCTTCAAGAATATATATTATTTTATTAGTTTATCTCTAATGGTTCAAAAGTTAGATCAATTATAACTCAATTCCTGAAATTTGGAGAGAAAATAATTTTGTTAATATTCTTTGTTTTATATATACATATAGATTTAAATGTATTGATAGAGCTATATAATTAATATAACTTTTGAACCGTTGGAGATAAACTAGTAAAATAATATATGTTCTTGAAGAAAATTTAATTTTTAAACTTAATTCCCCATGACTTTTATGATCGTAGAACGAAACAATAATGAGTTAGCTAGCCAAATACAATAAAAAAAAGATGAGGTAACAATTATTTTTCCCAAATTAGCGATAGTTAAGGACGAATATCGTGGAAACTAAGCAAGGAGCAAAAAAATGTATATAATCACAATCAAGTTGCAAATTTTATCGAACATGTGAATCGATGCGATGTATAGTTTTTCTGATATACGCGAAAATCCCAGAAAAGTGACCTAGGCGGTCTCTCCCCCACTTCTGGCTCACTACCAAAGGGTGGGGACTTTTGGTATGTTTGCCTTCTTACTAGTCCAAACAATGTCATAACGACAAAAATTGTGTCTCCACGATTTCCCTCTATACTCCCTTTTCGAGCATACATTGACTGGACTTAAAAAATAAACTAAAATAAAATATTCTAACATTTAATGTTGATACATACTTATAGGGTCTTAATTTTCCTATCTGAAGAAATTAATCAATCATCACTTTGAAAAAAAAAGATTAAAAAAAACAAAATAAGGATTCACAATAAAATATTAATTTATTAAATTTGAAAATTAAAAAAAAAATTCAATAAAAGAAACTGACCAACGTGCAAATATAATATTGTGCACAGGTGCATATGCTTATAATTAAAAAAAAATCTTTAAAAAATATATTTTTTAGTAAACCTAGTTCTATTATTGTTCCAAAAAAACAAAAACAAACAAAAAAAAAAACATATTATTTATTTTTCAACTTCAATCACATTAACTTAAATTGGACTTATTCCACTATTTGAAACGTTCTTATTTTCTTTTCTCTCTTTCGAAATATAACATGATACAAATAACCATTTTCTGTCAATGAATCATAGTTCGTTAAGATGTTATTTCTTCCTTTTTGCCATTTAAAAAAAATGGCAGAATATCCTACATATAATTAATTATATAAGTTTATGATATAAAATAATATTTAAATGATGAAATTGTAATCAATCTAGTTAACTCTGATCACAGGCTGATCTACGGGGGATACGGGCTGAAGCACACCTCACTACTCCCCTCCCACCAAAATGGTAAAATATAACCATATCTTATGGGAAAAATATTTAATAATTACCTCAAAAAGTATTATTGCTTGCGTAATTACATTTAATAGATCTTAAGGAATCACTTGAACTTTATTTCATATAGGTAGTAAGTTTATTTTTTTTTTTTTTCCAAAGTAATTATCATAATATATGTAAAAATAAATCTGTAGGGGCTGGATCCTCCCCAAAATTAAATGCTCGATCTGTAAGAGTATCTAATAAACAACTTTTAACAAACATGGATGTAACTATTTCATTAAATTAAAGAAGGTTAAAATTCAGTTGAGATTCCTATATTATGTTTTGCTGTTGTTCTTAAATTACTATTCTTAGATATTTTTAATACATTTACGACTTTTGTGAGTAAATAAATAAATGGTAAATATACCATATTTATTTAAATAATTTATAAATATAATGTTTACTGTTGGACTTAATCTCTGATGGTCAGTGTCCAAGAGTATAACGCAAGCATAAATATATCTTATACTTAAGACCATATTGTTTCCCTTTTGTTTATAAAAATGGTAGCATATCGGGCTTATAATATAAACAATAAACTCGTAGGTATTGTAATATATTCAACACAGTTTTAAATATAATACGATTAATAAATAAAAAAAAATAAAATGATTCTCATCAACTAATATAATATATACATATATATATAAATTTTAAAATAAAATAAATTAAAATACATACATATTTCTTACTCCCCGAAGGCGATGGTCCCGCTCTTAGATACGCGTTTTCTGGATTCATACCCACATTCATTATGTCCTAAAAAAATATTTCTTTTTCAAAAATCTTTCACGAATTCGAAATAAAATTTCGAAAATAAAAAAGATATATATGTATAAAAACAAAATAAATATTAAAACTAAAAAATAAATAAATAAAAAAATGAAAAAAACAAACCAAAAACAGTTAATACTACTTACTCCAGGGACAGGGGGTGTCGACAATTTCATCCTAGCTGCGTCAGGGACCACATGTAAATTCATATTCATCATATCCTAAAAGTAATACAAATTTACGAAATGTCTTAATCATTCGATTTTTTTTATTTTTTATTTTGGTAATATTATTTTTTTTTTTCGTAAAACGAATTTCGATACTCACAGCATGTAAGGCAGAACGCGCTCTTATGTTATCGTTCATTTGCAACGCCATCATCTCCTAAAAGCAACATTTTGGTGAATAATTATGCGGAAAAAAAATATAATTAACGGATAGTTGAAATTTTAAATAAATAAATAATTAATTTTACATGTGAAAACAAAAATATTTGTTTATAGCAATAATGACTACATCGCTAATCAAATAAAAAAATAAAATAAATAAGCTAGAAAAAAATATTTAGTTAGTAAAGGCACAAATCCTAATTCAGAACGTTTTATTTCTTTTATACAACCTTTTCAATAAAAAGTTTAGCATAAAATGAATCTGCATAAAACGTACAGTATATAGTTAGAAAACACAACTGCTAATTTGAATTATTTAAATAATTTATTAGTTCATCATTATTTTTGAGCAAGAATAATTAAACCAAAAACGAAAAATAGTATAGAACAAGTTATGAAACAAAATAGTGAAACTATGTATTTAGGCATAACAATATTACAAGGAAAATCTTAATTATTCTTATTTAATACAGCACATTAGAGGGAAATGTTTTGAACCAAAGATTCCAAAGAAAAATATAAATAAAAAAAAATAATAGAGCTCACGTATCGATTAGTAAACGGTCGGTGTTATAGAGCCGAGAATAGATTTATATAAAACTATTAACATCTGCCTAAATCTTCGTGAACACTAAAATCACAACCAATAACTTTTTTATTTACGCAAACTCTCGTATAAACGGAATTGCGTTTTCGATCAGGAGATCGACACATTTCGTATATTTAATTAGGCACTAAAATCTCACGAACATCCATTTGCTTTCTACTTGATTCGTAAGATAATTTGATTACAAATTCCAGAAAAAATGTGGCCTTCAACAATATTGGGCCGTTTACAGTGACCTCCATTCCCAAGATGTAAAGATAACGAGGTCATACATCACAAACGGACCAATATTTTCTCGATTTTGAGATCAAATTATCTTACGATTGAAGTGGAGAACAAATGGGTACTTCTGAGTTTTTAGGGCCTCGTTAAATTAATTAATTTAATGAGAAAACGCCCCTTTTCTTAGAATTTTCGTTGATAGAACATTTGAAGTTTAAGATAAAATGAAGCCGAGGTTTTAAGTGGACGTTAATAATTTGATAGAAAAGGGGTCTGCACCACAGACTAAAATGTTTATTTCGAAACGAATAATACCATAAATACTTGTATATTTAAGGAAAATATAACAAGATATATATATATATATATATATATATATATATATATATATTCATTAAAAACAGGTTAAAAAATGAAATTTACACATATATAATTTATAAAAAATTTAGATTCTAAATTATGTTAAAAAAATTGAATTTATTATTATTATTGTAACTCAAACACGCACTGGACTACTTGAGGTCAATTTCTTCGGTTTCCTCTTCGTGTATTTCCTCTTCCCCGGATTTTTGTTCTCTTCATTATTCATGTTGTGTGTTAAAAGTTTTATCACCTACTGGCTCACATAATATACTTATCAAATTCTTACCACAAAATCCCTAAGAAAAGAAGCTAAATCCTATGAAGTCAAATCGCATTACAAAGTTAGATCCGTGTATTTATTTTTGTGTACATACATTAATATTAAGTTGTGTATACTTCTATATTGGACAGCTTTACACAGCTATAGAATATGAGATATATATATTTTCAAGTATATTTATTATCAGCCAATTTTCAAAATTTTGTCAGCTTAATGATTATACATCTAATTACGAAGTTACGGCTCGTTTTTAATTCTAAAATTTTTTTTTACAATTTACAATCATATTTAAAACATTACATACTTCAACATATAGAGATTCTTATTATATACCTAAAATACCAATCATGTACCTGTCCTTTTCACTTATGCGAATTGCATGCGTCTAATCATAATAAAAAAAAATTATTTTTGTCATGTCCACCTTTAATTATTTTATAACATTGTTATTACTCAATTATTTATTATTAAATGATTCAAATAAGTTAAAATTACCTTAGAATGTGTCACCGATATGTCATCGAAACTCATTTCTATTCAGTGACTGGTTATTCCTAAAGGAGTAGGGGAAGACTATTTATTTTAAAACATATACAATGATGTTTCCCAATATTATATATGAAACTATTTTAAGTAAAATTAGCAAATTCATTTCATATTTGTATTTTTTCAATCCAACTCGCGTAAAAGGTATTCATATTATCCACGTCTGTATGATTATTTACCGAGTTTTTAAAATTTTTAGCTATGAATATTGCTTCCTTAATTCTACGTTTATTCATATTACTTTCATTATGCAGGATTTTGTAGTTTTTAAAATCAAATTCATGTTTTGTTTGCATAGTATGCCGAGAGGATCCAGTAGCTAATTTAATTTTTGTGTTTTTTGAATTACAATTTTGTTTGTGATGTTTAAGTCTTTTTTCAAACCATTGTGATGTCTGTCCAAAATATGATTTGTTGTTGCAATTTTTACAATTTATTTTATAAATAATATTCGTTAATTTATCGGTGGGTATTTTATCTAAGTTTTGGAATATATTGTATATATTTTATTAATAGGTTTGATTGCAAATTTAATTTCATTTACATCATATTGTTTAAATGTTCTTTTTATTTTATTATATATATATATATATATATATATATATATATATATATATATATTAGTCAAGATTGTTCCAACCGGAGAACTTAAAGGTTACTCGATTTTCAAAATAGTTTTCTAGATAGGAGCGTCTGATTGTCCCATTTGTAATACACGTGAATCAGAAGATTTATACTATTTTTTGTTGCATTGTCTTACAAATGAAGCTTTTAGAAGTAAGTATTTAAGTAAATATATTGAGCGTAATTCTGATGATAAAGAAAAAACAGTAAAATTATTACATATAGAAAACAAATATGAACTCGATGATTTATATTAGTATGTCGAAGATTGTTTAAAATTAAGGAATCTTTTTATATTTATTCAAGAATGAATAGCTTTATCATTAAGTTTAAGGTGGTTAAGATTATATGGAAATAATAATATTAAGACTTGACATTATATTTTAGTTTATTCTAAATAGTTTGTATTGTTTATAATTGGGTCATCACACAATTGTTCTATTTTACTGGTTGTTACTATTAATGTATTTAATTTGATTTCATGTATATAAACTCAACAACATTTGTATGGGTTCGCTCAAAAACAAATATATATATATATATATATATATATATATATATATATATATATAGAGAGAGAGAGAGAGAGAGAATATGAATTCAGGATTGTGACAGGACAGTGAATCTTGTGAGGTTTTAAACTCGTTTATTCGATAGGTGTTCGTTCGATTAGGCTGGGCGTTGGACGAATTTCGGAATCAGTGGCAAATGGTGAGGTACCATATTTATCGAATTCATATCATATTTACATTATTTGTGTAAATGTCATGTTAAAAAACCAAACATTCGCAAGATTTTTAAACCCTTCGGAACAAGATAATGCAATTGAAACTTTGTTGATTGGAATTGAAATTCCACTTTATTTTGAATAATAATCAAGTAATCATGAAACGTAAATAGTCATCATTAAGGAAATAGTAATGTGGTAATGTGGGTAGCTTATTAGATTGACATCATATATTTAGTTTCCTATGACTTCCTGTTCTACAGTATCCCAGTAACAACCCATTTATCCCTGTTGAACAAATTCGATAACTAGGACTCCCCACATAGAGAAACGTCTAACTTGGACTCTTCATACGAGACTCGAACAAGTAACCGCACAGAACTAACTGGAAAAAAGCTCTATACTTTCAAATAATTACAAAAGCCTCACTGAGTTGAGTTTAAGGGCTACAGTAAACCATCGAATTTCTGTCGTATCCAATTTCTAAAATCTAAAATCCTTCGTAAAATTCTCCTTATTTTGTCAAAAATAAAATTTTCCACAATAATCTTAATGTACCATGTGTTTCCGATTCGGTCCAATCCAAATACTTTGCTTCCTCTTCGAACATTAACGTCTCTGAAACGTATGAAAAGAAGATGGTCTCCGGATCTGTTAATGTATATGTATATATACATTAACAGATCTGTATACACACAAGTCTTCATATGATTCGATTTATATAAATTTAATACAGTTGTAAATTTCATGAATAAAAAAACAAAAAAAAACAATTCGTCCAAGAATATTTTTTTTTTTCAAATAGCTTTATTTCTATATTTTTAGATACACCATCCGAATTAGTTTGGTAATTTGTTATTATTGTATTATGATTGTGTTTAATATTTATAATCCGATAGACGTTTGATTTTTTTTTTTTTTTTAAATACAGGTAATAATAATTTATAAAAAAAAACATATTAGTTTGACAATAAATTATAATAATATACCTTTTAGAATTATAATTTAATATTATGTGAAATATTGATGTTTTTTTTTTTCAGATAAGCTCAGACCGTACTTAAATAGGTCCTTAACGGCGACCAAGTACCTGGTTTCCCAGACAGCGTACAAAACCAGGGGCCCAAGGTGGGGGGGGAGGGGTTGAGGATCAATGCTTGCCGAGTTATTAGCTGTCATGGCTGTGTGCTGTGTGCTCTGTGTGTGTAGAGGAATCCTATTGATTCTCTCCCTTGGACACTTGCTCACTCTGGTCTTCTTCCTTCCAGTCTGTCGGTCTGATAATTGTTATCTTCATGTTAACGTTTCGTGACGCAAAATAGGGGAAAGGAGTAAGTTTAAGTTATGTGACATCACCTGGGAATTATGAGTTTAAAGTTTAAACATTAAGTATTGGCAATTATTTTTTAACGAATATAAAAAAATATACATAAATTTTCAATACACTGACCTTTTTTTTTGTCTAATGGATAAATTATAAAAAATATACTAAACAATTTAAAAAAATAATTTTTTACATTGTTTTCAACATTATATTTATAAAAAAAAAATTATAATTTTTATTTACGTTTAAATTGAGGAATCTGCTGATTGAATCATTTTCATGAAAATGTTAATATTGACATTAGGAACTTATAAATACGGATAAATTCCTATAATAGGATCTGGGTAAAATTCACAGTTTTGTTAAAATTTATTTAATTATTTTGCAGACATGATATGATAATGATAAGAAAGAACCGAAACGACATTATAAAAAATGGACATATTCCAATTTCATGAATTCGTTTAATCTTTAATCAGAAAAATAAATAAACAAATAACGAATTAAAAATGAGTTTCACTTCTGAGGTAATATTGATGATATTATTTCTTAAATTGCGCATTTTATTTTTTATAATAAATTTATTATTTATTAAGACGATAGTGAAATATTTGTTAAGCAGAACAAATCAAAATATAAGGCTGTTGGAAGGAAATTCATTAAGATTATATTTGTTTATGGAATATAAATAGAATAGTCTAAATCTGATTATCTAAAACAAAAAAGACATGTGGTGTAAGAATAATTATCTTATCTATTTAACAATAAAAAAAAATATTTTATCAAAATTTAATTCGTAAATTAAAGCTAAATCATGATTTGTATTTTTTACAAATCACTTTTATTTAATATTTATCTTATTTTTCTTTAGTGAGCAGATCACATAACTTGACAGTAAAAAAAAAGAACTTAATTGCGAAAACCGTTAAATGAAAAAGAAATATTAATCAAATGTTTAATTCACAAAATTACAAATACAACTGCCGTTAGTTCATTCGCATTGACCGAACTCAATTATTTTCTGAATATCATTCTTAAGTAAATTCAATAAGCTATAAATATAATTTCTACTGAATCGGTTTTAAAAACAGATTAATTGAAAAATATCATTCATAATTATATCAATCGATTTATTAAAGTTCTTGTTGTAAGCATTTTATAATACAATTAATGTAACAATGATTCGACTAAATATCCTTGAAATTGAGAAGTGAATTAATTACATTTTTCTCACGAACAATTAATGTTTGCTATAGAATGGATTGCATTTATTTAAATGAATCAATGACCATTTTCAGGGGACTGAATTACTACCGTCATCCTCGCTACACACGCTTTATATTAAGCTTAAACTTAACTGTTTATAAATGACAATTGAATCCATGTATCTTTGAAGAATTTAATATCAGTATAAATTCCGGCTCAATGTTATTATTTTAAGAATAAAATTAAAATACAATAAAACACTCGGTCGTAAACCTACAACTTCTTGTCCTACAGTAGCCTTCAATGATATTCCACTTGTAACTGTTGAACAAAGTCGCTAGGATTCCAACTGGACAAACGTCTTACTTGGATTTCTCATATGAGACTAAAACGACAAGAAACTGCTCGACGTTTCCGGCTGCTCCAACACTTACTAGAAAAACGCTTTAACTTTCAATATATTATATAAGACTCATTTACATGAGTATAACAAGACTTATATGGACATATAGAGTTGAGCTTTGCGGCTTCACC